AGTGGAGCTGACGGAGAACTGGGGTTATATGAGAACAACGCCCAGTCCCTGTCAGCAACCTGGCAGCTCTATTCTGCACCAATTGAAGTATCCGGACCGTCTTCAAGGGCAGCCCCACGTAGAGCGCTTTACAGAAGTCTAATCGGGAAGTTACCAGCGCGTGTCACTGTCGCCAGGCGATCGTTCTCCAGGAAGGGACACTAGCCTAAACCTCGTGAGGGCATTAGCCCAGGGAAGGCTGCCTTAGCTATTCAAACAAACATTAATTTTGCTGTCCTGGGAATGCAAGAATGCATTGAATTGCAGAATTGCAGAAACATTGCTTCTGTTGGTGACAGTTGCACACTTGCACCTTTTCCTCATGTACCTTTCACACCCCTTCTAGAAAGGTGAAGGCCGGAGGGAAAATGGGGAAAAGTTTATTTCCAGGACTTACATTCTTCTGGAAACAAGCCCAACAGACAGGTAAAGAACTGCATTGTGAAAATTCATGCTTTTCTGATTTGTGGCTTCACACTATGCAGACTACTATAGGTTGGAAATGCAAGTGCACACAAGACACACAGGCAGATCTGGCGAGTGGAGGAACATTTCTTGCTAAAAACAATTCTGAACAAAGCACTGCAAGAATGTTGCAACCGTTGGCATTTCTATTTGCATTGCAACATTTTAACTATGCAAAGGCATTTCACAAATCAAGTTCATTATCATCATATTGCAGATGGAAGGAGCACGGCAGAAAACGTATTTGCTTGGCAGAACTCTGTGGTGATTCGTGGCTGAGGTTCACCTTGGACCAGGGGCCTTCTAATTCATAACTCAGCTCTTACCTTCTGTGTTATATCAGTTAATAGGATGAAAATCCCAGGGCTGCTTTTGCAGCGGCCTTGACAGATCTCCAGAAGCATGTTCTTCCAGTGCGCAGCTGTATTCACATAGCTTGCATCAGAGGGACATGGGGGGGGGGGGACAATAGTTTGCCCCATAGTTTGCCCCCCACCATCTCCCTCCCTCTGCTAGTTTTCAGTGCTCCTAGGAGGAAATACACTTTCCACATAAAATAATGAACTGGACATTTTAAAAGGCCGCAGTCCTTGGCAGAATTACTAGAGTTAACTCTGTCAAAAATCACAGGAGTTGGGAAAATATGTTCAGTAGATTTCACTGTAAATGTGAAATGTGCTTTCATTTCTCTTTCAGAAGTCTAACAGGTGGGGAGAAACTCATCCCCAGCTTGGATGTGCCCATTCCCTGTGTTCCTCTCAAATCTTTCCGCCATGTGGCTGTGAAAGCTGAAGGCTTTGCTGCTGAGCCAAGATGGTGGGGTTGGGGGAAGTAACCACAGCCAGCGCTCGCCCCCGCAGGACAGCAGCATGAGCCACACCCAGCCTGCTCTGACTCCAAGATTCAGGGACCAAGACAGAGGATGCGGAACTGGGTGGTCAGTCATTCCTATGCAGGCTTCTGAACACACACACAGCACGGCTGTTTCCAAGTGCACAACCATCCAGTCTCCTTGCCATAACACTAACAAGCTCAACAAGTTTCTCCAAGGACTGCTGAAAGCAAGTGTCTTCGTGTGTGGTGTAGTGGTCAAGAGCCTGGGACTGGGACTCAGACGATCCGGGTTCTAGTCCCCGCTCAGCCATGGAGCCACCTGGGTGACTCTGGGTCAATCGCAGACTCCCAGCCCAACCTGCTTCACAGGGCTGTTGTTGTGGGGATGAGATGGAGGAGGAGATGTAAGCTGCCTTGAGCCCTTTGTAGGAAAAAGGCAGGATATAAATCGAAAAATAAATAAAATAAATAAATAAATGTGCAGCACACAGCTTGCTTTATTCTAAGCCAGAAGGAAAAAAAATAAGCAAGTCCCATTACGGGACATTCTGCGTGAGCCCCTTATTCCCAGGTAGGCTGCATGAGTGCAAAATCGGATCTCTGGCATCCAGAGCAGCATCCTGAAAAGTTCAGCACCTATTAAGGTGGGAGGCTGGAGACTCCCACTTAGAGAGAAGGTAAGGGCAGGGGAGTGCAGAGACCAAGGAATGATGCTTCTCGTGTCCTCCGGTCTCCTTACTTCACCCTCCAAAGCATCCCAGATTCGGAGACTCACGTGCATCTGCACTGAATTACAAAAACAAATTCCAATCGGAGGCTGTGTTGGGTATGTCTGCTGAAGGAACAGAAATAAAACGGGCAGGTGTGTTAAGGGGGTGTTGGAGAGGAGAGGTTGTTTTTGCCTTGTACATCTCCACCCTCGGTTACACATGGAGTCAGAAAAATCCTAAGCCACATTACCATCATGCACTTCTGGCTATCAGCTGAAATCTTCCATGATGAGAAGGGCTAGAACACAGCAGGAACAGGAAGAGCTGTTCTGCTTGATTGCCCCATGCATCGTTGTGCTTAACGGACGCCCAGCTGAGAATCCTGGAGACCCGCTGAGTGCGACTTTAGCTTTGCGGGATGGGGACAATCTTCTGTGTGCCCCCTCCCCTACCATGGCATTTTGAAGATGTTAACCGTGGATGATAAAGAAGCAAACAATGCAACGGAAGCATATGCAAATATATTTTATTTGTATGACTCATTTTAAGAAGGAAAAGACAGCTGGGTTTCCTTGCTATAGAGCAGAAGTGGCCAGCATGTGGCCATCCAGACGTTTCAGTGCGTAACGCTAATGATCTTTCACCGATGGCTAGTCTGTGTAGAGCTGATGGGAGATGTAGGCCACAAGATCTGGAAGTACACAACTTGTCTGCCCCAGTACAGGATTTGATTTCGCTACATATTTCTGACCCCAATCCTACCCCCTAAGAGAAAAATATAATTGGAATTTCCTACAGCTAAATCCTAATACATTAGACATAATATATATTTCCTGCTACTCTGTGTCCAATCCATTTTTCACAAAACTGAACTGCAAATTTTAGATGCTCTACCAAAGGCTCCACCGTATATCTCTGGTTTATTAACTTTTCTGGTTTATGAGTGACCATTTCCTACTCAGAACTTTTTAAAGATGTGTCTCTTTCATGAAGTTTCTGGTGTTTTCTAAGATTGGAACTCACACTAAAACTTCTCCCACACTCGGGGCATTCATAAGGTTTCTCTCCTGAGTGCACTCTCTGGTGGGTGATAAGGTGTGAATTGTTACGGAAGGTTTTCCCACACTCCAAACATGCGTAAGGTTTTTCTCCAGTGTGAACTCTCTGATGGCCAACAAGTACTGAGCTGTAAGAGAAGCTTTTCCCACACTCAGGGCATTTATATGGCTTCTCCCCTGTGTGTATCCTCTGATGTGTAACAAGGTGTGAGTTTGCATTGAATTTTTTGCCACAGTCATGGCACTGATATGGTTTTTCACCTGTGTGAATTCTTTGATGAATAATGAGGTCTGCACTCCGACAGAAGTTTTTGCCACATTCCAGGCACAAATAAGGTTTCTCAGTCATATGGATTCTCTGATGACTTAAAAGGCCTGATTTAACAGTAAAAGTTTCTGGGCAGTCAGGGCATTTATAGGGCTTCTCCCCAGTGTGAGTTCTCTGGTGCATCACAAGGGTTGAGCGCCTCCCGAAGCTTTTCCAGCAGTCCTGGCATTTATAAGGTTTCTCACCAGTGTGAGTTCTCTGATGTGTGATGAGAGTTGAACTCCTACTGAAGCTATTTCCACAGTCAAAACATTTATAGGGCCGTTCCCCTGTGTGTGTCCTTTGGTGCATAACAAGGTTTGAGCTACGGCTGAAGGTTTTGCCACAGTCGGAACATTTGAAAGGTGGTTCCTTAGAGTGTGTTCTCTGATGTCTATTGAAGTTTAAGATCTGGTTGAAGCTCCTCCCACAGTGAGGGCAGAAAAAGGGCTTCTCTCTTGTATGGCTCTTCTGATGTGCAATGAGGTGGGTACTCTGAACAAAGCCTTTCCCACACTTAGTACAGGTAAAGGGTCTGTCTCCTGAATGGAGTTTCTGGTGCCGGACAAGGTCAGAACGGCGGCAAAACTTTTTCTGACACTCTGGACATGTGTGTTTCTTCTTTAATATATGTTCCGCTGGCACCACTGTTTTATCTAGTTCTACGGCATCCTTCAAGTGGGGAGCGTGCCGAACCCTGTCTTCCTGCAAGCTTTCTGGATTGGTGTTCTCCTCTTTGACCTTGGTCAACATTTTATCAACACCTGAAGAAGAAAGAGAAAGAAAAGGAGAACACAAATAACAGACATTGTTCTGTGCTGGAACCACAACAATTTTACATGGCTTATCCCCAAAGTGAACATGATATTCATAAGCCTTCTCCACATTTTCTGATTGTATAGGTCAGTCTTGCAGGTATTTTGTATTTTCCTAGAAACATAACAATTAAAGGGAAATCCTATGCCTGTTTAGACTGAAAAAAGGCCCACAAGTTCCAGCATACAGGTTGGAAAATGCTGGAGGTCACAGGACTTTTCCCCCTATCTAAACACCCATAGGATTGTCTTCATGATGCTCATTGGCTCAAAAATTTGCTGACATAATACTAAGAACTGACTTTGAAATAGTGGTAGGCAACTTGATATTTGGGCCTACAACTCCCATCAGCCCTAGCCAACATGGAAAAAGGTGAAGAGTAACGGGAGTTATAGGCCCAAATATCTGCATGGCTACAAGTTGCTTGCCCTTGCTTTACATTCCATGCTGGCACTGTTGGGGGTGTGGGGTGTGGCATAGGAGGCAGTGGAAGAAAATCATGTTCAAATCAATTATCTGTGCCTTTTATTTATGACACTTTTAAATTACATTTATACATTTATTACCCAATAATCAAAGCTCTCTGACTTGTTCACAACAATAAAAACCATCCAATGCAGTGTAGAATGCACTATACAAGTTTAAAACAACAGTATCAAACAGAATTAAAAGCCAAAGTAAATTCTAGCAGCCATGGAAACATTTAAAATACTCTAAGAGATTTAAAACAGAAACTGAAATGCCTGGAAAAAGACCTGGCATGGGAAAAAGCACTGCATAGAGGACAAGTTAGCCTCTCTGGAAAGCTCATTTCACAACTAAGGAGACACAGCAGAAAAGGCCCTCCTTCCAGGAGTTACCTCATTTGTTTTGGCAGGGGCTGCTGCAAAAGGACCGCTGAGGTCAATCTTAGTCCATACATTCCTGCCCATTGTTTGAGAAAATCAATCAAGGTCCTTCTACAAGCTTTTCCCCCTAGGGAGATTAAGGGGGAGGCTGGGAGGAGGAGGGCACCCCAGCTGGGGAACACCATACTGCCTGAGATGCACCAGGTGTCTCCTTTATTGAGTTTCAGGCACCTGGCAAAAACGTTCTCTTTTGATGCGCCTCTGGCACTACTTAAACTATTTATATTGACAGCACTGGTTTTAATTTTAATCTTATTTATTCATTTTACTAATTGATGGGTTGTTTGCATATATTTTGTTTGTTTCTTTATTCTGATATTTTAACTATATTATCAATAACTATGATGATATTACAACTAACAATATAACATCAGTATTATCTATTGTAATGACCTATTGTGATGGCTGGCTTTTATACAAATTTAATAAATAAATAATCAATCTTAGGGTCCAGGAAGGTATATATGGAAGGAGACAATGCTTCAGGAAATATGCTATAGCCGACATGGGTTTCGCATCTCAGTTGCAGCTCTAGGGAAATCCCACAGGCCTTCCAGGACTGGCTTTCTCTGTACTCCTGCATTCAAGAGCTTAGGTTACATATTGTGCTTCAGCAGTGATTGGACTTATAGAACAGTAGAATTGGAATGGGTCCATAAGGCCATCAGGTTCAACCCCCTGTTCAGCGCAGGACTCCAAGTCAAAGCACCCCCCTCAGATGGCCGTCCAGCCGCCTCTTGAAAGCTTCCAGTGGGGGAGAGCCCGCCACCACCCTAGGCTGTTGGTTCCATTGTCGTACTCCTGTAACAGTCAGAAATTTTTCCTGATGTCCAGCCAGAACCTGCCTTCCCGCAACTTGAGCCCATTATTCTGTGTCCTGCAATCGGTAACGACCGAGAAGCGATTCTGGCTCTCCTGTGTGTGCCAACCTTTCAAGCACTTGAAGTGTGTTATTCTATCTCCCCTCACTCTTCCCTTCTCAAAGCCAAACATGCCCAGCGCTTTCTGTCTCTCCCTGCAAGGTTTTGTTTCCAGTCCCTGGATCATGTTTGTTGTCCTCCTCTGAACCATTTCAAGTTTGCCTGCATCTTTCTTAAACTGTGTGGCCCAGCACTGGATGCAGTACTCAAAATGACGCCTGAGCAGTGCTGAGTAAAGGGGAACTAGCACTTCACGTGATTTGGAAGTGATACTTCTCTTAATGCAGCCCAAAATAGCATCCCCCCCCCTTTTTTTGCAGCCACATCACAGAGGTGACTCATATGCAGCTTGTGATCTACAACAATTCCAAGATCCTTTTCGCTTGTAGTCTTGTTGAGCCAAGTGGCTCCCATCTTCTAACTATGCATCTGGTTCCTTTTTCTTATGTGTAGAAGTTGGCATTTATCCCTATTCAATTTCGCTCTGCTGATTTCAAGCCAGTACTCCAACCTACCAAGAACACGTCGAATTTTCTTTCCGTTTGGTCCATTTCAACAATTAAACACAGGGAATTTTAATGTATGCCTCACCAAACTCCTTGAACAAAGAGTGAACCAGTCATACGATCCTGCCCGTTTCACATACCCCAGTCTATTCCAACCTGGTGCCCTGCAGATATTTTGCACTGCGTCTCCCTCCCCCAAAAATGGGCATACTGCCCAGGGCTGACAGGAGTTGAATTCCAAAGCATCTGGAGGGCACCAGCGGGAGGCGAGCTAAAATGGAGAGAGAATTAAGACACGTGCACCATTCTTGTTAGCAACTGGAGCAGCCAGATCCCAGGCTGGCCATGGGCGGTAACTCTTGCTGTCCCGAATGCTTCATCGCCGCCTGGCTTTCTCCTCACCTTCTCATCCAGCCCCTCTGGCTTCATGGCACATCGGCTTGCTTACCCATCCTAAAACCCATCCTCGCCCTAGCGCATCTCGCCCCCACTGCTCCTCCGCCAGTATGCAACCGCTCAGGAGGAGTTTAATGGCTGCTGCAGCCACGAGCCAGTTCTCACCTCGGTCAGACACAGGTTATGCCCGCGGAGATCCGGATCGTCTCCGCTTCGCTTGCGCCAATAGCGGCTTGCACAACTCCCGCGCCGCGCCGCCGCGCCGCTTCCGAAGCCGCGTCCCCTTCAGCGTCTCCAAAGCCCTCCCGGGAAACGCTCAGCTGCCGATTATTTGCGCGCAGAGCGGGGGAAGGAAGGGGCCGGCCGGCGCCCCCCGCCCCACTTCCTTTGCATACACCCGGAGCCCTCTGCTGGCCGCGGGCTGGCTGCACAATTTGTCACTCAAGGCGGACTTCCCGGGGGAGGGGGAGGGGGAGGGGGGCGAAGCAGCCCGTCCTGCCCCGCTCGCCGAAGCGCGAGGGGCGGGCGGCGAGGGCAGCCTTCCCTCCTGCGGCAGTGCGGCAGGGAGCGCGGGGGAGCCGCCGCGGCCTGCGCGGGAGGGCCGGCTGCGAGGCCGCCCCCGCCCTCCGCCACAACATGGCAGCCTCCCGCGCGGCGCCAGCCCCGGCCGCGGCCTGGGACCGGGCGGCGGGCGCCCCCGCCCCGCCCCACCCCAGCAGAGGGCCGCGGCGCCCCCGCCCGCGTCCTTTGGCGCTGGGGAGGAAGAAGAGGGAGCCCGGCCCTTTGGGCAAGATGCGAAGGAGACCCCGCGCTACGCAGAGTTTCGCCCATGGGCGTTAGAGTCCATAAATCGACGCACAGCATGTGCCTTTTCAGTGTGGGGGCTTGATGCACTGCTCGGCATAATGGTGGAACTGGGACATGGTTACCACACCTACCAAAGAGTCAGGGCGAAGTTGCATGAATTAATCATCAACTGTAGTTTGGCTATATGCAGGAATAAGGAATCAATCTGTCGACCTGTCCCCTAGCCACTTTTACGGTAGGGAAATCTGTTTTTAAATCATTTATTTCATTATATGCATTTTTTTTTAAATCCAGCCTTTCCCACCTGACTCCAAGGTGGCTTGCAATACAGGTAAACATGACGTCCCAAATCCATATTAATCAAAACGCCATCAACATGGTGGAGTCATTCATCAGTACTAGTGACTGCTGATAGCCATAACCCCCATTTCTCTAATCCCCCTTCCAAGCCAAGTAAGTTGGTGTCAATACCACATCATACAGCAGAGAATTCCAGTTTAACTATGTGTGGTGTGAAGAAATGTTTCATTTTATCTGTCCTGACTCTACCGTGCAGCTTCATTGCATGACACCATGTTCCAGGATGATGATGGGAAAAAATCTTCCAGAGGCTCCAGGATAACGGGAAATCCTCTAGGCCAGGGATTCCCAACCTGGGGTATTCATACCCCCAGCAGTAGGAACCAGGACATTTGGGGGTATGAAAAAAAATTGAATCATGATGAGAAAAGTCACATACGGCAACAATATAAGGCAACTTACGGGTTTTCACTCCAGTCTTCGCAGGCATGTCATGAAGGTAACCCCCAGTATAACCTGGAGTCACTGCTGTGTCTGTAACCCCTATGAAATACTGATTCAGCCCAAAAGGGTGGCATGAAGAAAGAGCGGGGCTTTGAGAATCAAAAAGAGCAGGAAAGCTGAAGAGGAGGAGTTGCTGTTGCCACGAAGGCCCTTGCGGACTTGCTCTAGGTCAGTGATGGCGAACCTTTCAGAGACCAAATGCCCAAACTGCAACCAGAACCCACTTACTTATCGCAAAGTGCCAACACTGCAATAAAACCTGAATACTGAGGTTTTAGTTTAGAAAAAAACCAACTCCTACATTAACATCTCTTGTCTTAAAAGAAAAACACAATAACAAAGAGAAGGAGCCACGTTCACATTCAGCACCCCCAAGTTGGGGGACGCTGGGCTTGCTTGTGCCCGGACGGGTGCACTTCCTCTCTCCCTCCCTCCTCACCCCCAGACCAGCCACCGGGAATGCCGCAGGAGCTTTGGCAGCGCTTGAAAGTTTACTGGAAGGCGGAATTATATTTATTTATTTATTAAAATATTTCTGTGCCGCCCCTTGCCGAAGCCTCAGGGTGGCTTACAACACAATAAAATACAATAAAATACAGAAATAACAATACAAAATTAAAATTAACAATATAAAATAAATAATATATAAAAGAAGTCGCCCTGGCCAGAATGTGGGGAGAGAGACCTAAACTAAAGGTGGGGAGAGGCTATGGCTGATTCCTTTCACACTTCCATTGGGATCTTCCTCGAGGTGCCCCCACGGCACTGCCAAGCCTTGGCGAGTGGGGTAGGGTGGGGAAGGGGGTCCCCGCCATGTGCCCATTCCTCTCGCTTCACAGCAGTCCCAGCCTCGTTTTGGCCTCCCTCCCCAGAAAGCGCCATATCGATCCTAGGTGCCCTCTCTTTCCGCCTCCTTGCTCCAGCTGCTGCAGCTGCTCCATTGCCTCGACCCCATCACTCGCTCCCTTTGCCCAACCTCCCCCCCCCGCCGCGGCCACCGGTGCAGGAGCCCAGCGCGGGAGCAGGCGTGTGGGCTGGTGGGCGTGCAGCTAGGAGGGCAGCTTGGGTGGCTGCTCACATGCTGTGGGCCAGGAGGAGGAGGAGGAGGCAGGAGGGGGGCGCCACCGCCAGCGCTCGGCACGCCCACTTGCTGCTCACCCGCCCCCTTCCTGGCACATCCTCCGTGGCTGTCGGACCTGCCTCTGGCTACTTGTCTGACGCCGCCTCTTGCCGTGAGTCGCGGCTAGTGAGTGACATCGTCGCTCGGTGCCATTACTCTTTCTGAATATGTGCGTGGCTGCTGGGGCGATGCTGGGGCGACTTGGCTCACGTGCCAACAGAGAGGGCTCTGTGTGCCCCCTGCGGCACACCTGCCGTAGGTTCGCCATCACTGCTCTAGATGCAATTCCTTCATGTTTGTGTTGCAGGGTGAATCCACATGCAATTGAATTGGCGTTTTATTCCTAGGCTTTGAGGATTCTGTGCACGTGGCAGACTCTTCTGCTTTCAGACCAGCTGAGGAGGGCATTCTGGATCCTTTGTTTGAGTTGGGTTGAAAAAGACATTTGAACTGTACACTGGTACCTTGGTTCACGAACTTAATTCGTTCCAGGACTCTGGTCGTGACCCAAATTGGTTGTGAGCCAAGTTAAATTTCCCCATAAGGTTCAGTGTAAACAAGGTTAATCCATTCTGTAACTAGTTTTTAAATCAGAAAACTGTGAAGCAAAGTGACAACAATAAAGACCACCGCCATCTCCTCCCCCCGAGCACGAGCGTGGCCATCACCCTGCACCCCCCCAGCATGACCATGATCATGCCCATCGTCCCTGCACGCACCCGTCATCCCGGCACACTGCGGGGAGAGACGGTGCGAATGCGGGAGTGCTGTGGGGAGAGACGGTGCGAATGTGGGCGTGCTGTGGGGAGAGACAGGTGCGAATGTGGGCGTGCTTGTGGGGGGGACGGGTGAGCTTGCGATTGTGCTCCTGCAGGAAGGATGGGTGCAGTCACAGGCTCACTGGTGCAGGAAAACGGGCGCGATCTCGGCCATCTCCCCACTCGGGGTGGCGGGGGAATGGCTGCAATTGAGGTTGCCACTCAATGCGGAGTTCGCAACCTGAGACAAATTTGTTATGAAATTTTTGTTCACAACCCAATTTGGTTGTGAACTGAGGCGTTCCTGAGCCAAAGTACCACTGTTCATCCATTTTGTGAGTATGTGCGCTATTGCCAGGGTTGTAGAATTTTGTTATTATTATAAGTGCTCTTGCTGTAAAATTGTTGCTAAGAAGAGGTTCATTTCGTATGCTAGGTTGTGTTGCAACGTCCATTGGGAAACAAACAGCCCCACAGCATCTGCCAGTGTCACACATCCACAGGCAATTCCTGGTGAAGTACAAGTTGTTCTTGATGAAGCTGTTAAACTGGTTAATACCAAAAAGCCACTCCACAAACTCAAGGATTTGCAAAGCAGTGTGTGAAGAGATGTCATCGTTCTCCTCTCCTCCTTCATACAGAGTAAGACGGCTCTCTTGTCGCAAAGTCCTTACCTGGCTGTTCAAACTTAGACATGAGGTCCAGGGAGGGGGTTAAGACCGTCCTTTCCAACTTGCTTCCAAGTTACAGGACTGTGATTGGCTTTAGGCTGTCACATACATATCAGATATTTCTACAGATAAACAATCTAAATTTGGCACTTCGGAATAGTTTGCTAACAATCTTCAAAGTTTCAGACAAAATTTAATCTGTGATTAAAAATTAGATTTTTGGAGGTCATGTATTGAAAAAGGCCAACCTGAGGTATTTGAAATGTTACACAATTTCCTATTTGAGAACAAGTTACAGCTGTCCCAGGAAATGAGTAAGAAATTAACACTTGAAAGGGCTGAAATCATCTTTCAAGAAGTACTTCTCAAAACATGGAGAAGAGAACAGCTAGACTGCAAACCCCTTTGAAGAAGAATATTTTCAAGCTGCCAGAGTATCAATCAAAGGAAAAGAGATCGAAGTTTTGACTGATACTACTTTAAAAGCTGAATTCAAAGAAAAAATCCTTATTAACTTTTGGGCAGGTACCAGGAGAGATTATGAACAGATTTCTGACAAGGTGCTTAAGTTTCTGTTGCCATTTACAAACACAGTGCTGATTGAGAGGGCTTTCCCTTATACTTTTATAAAAAATAAATATCGTAGGAAGCTGAGTGCAATTCCAAATTTAAAACTTCACCTTACATCAGTGAATCTGATTTCACAAAACTGTGTGCCTCAAAACAAGCTCAAGGATCACACAAAACATTTGTTGTGTATAGAATATTTGTTGTTTGCATTATAAATATTATTTCAAAACATATTAAATTATTAATTAAAGTAGCAAATAACATAGTGTTTAAATGTAATCTGTGATATATTTACTTGAATTCATTGTATCTTTTGAGTTTTGAATGTAAATATATATGCACTGCCTGTTCACCATATTATTCCATTGCCTTTTACTCCCTTTATTTATTAATTTATTAAATTGTATAAAAGCTGCCTGTAAGCATCATGCTTTCTGGGCAGCCATTACAATAAAAATATCAATAATAACATTCATAAAATAATACAGTTAAAATATTAAAATAAATAAACAAGATAAAACTCAGTGTATACAAATCAGACGAAATGTAAATTTTTAAAAAATCAATCTATTAAAATTAAAGCCACTGCCATCAAAACAGAAGGTTCAAGTATGGCCAGAGGTGCATCACAAAA